AGGACATACAGCAAAAAAAAAAAAAAAAAAGATGATGACATTTGCCCAAGCTATTGCTACCTCAAATAAATGTAAAAAGGTCACCATCCTTTCCCCAACTCCCTCCTGTCCCCAAATCGTCTTTTCTGCAGCTCATATCCTTTGTCTGTAGGAGACACAGGCTCCCTATTAAATTTTCATTCCCTCTAAACATAATCCCATCTGCCTCCAGTACAGAGCTGTCCTGATAGTGCCTTTGAAAGGAATTACTTAAAAGTTTTAAAAGCCAGCAGTCTCTGGGCTTGTTCTGCCGAAGCTCCTATCATTCAGTGACCAACTTTCGGCCCATTGCGTTATCACTGTCATTTATTTGCTTTCGAGTAATTATTTGTCTTAAAGACAGGAAGGCTTAAGCTCAGCAAGAGGATGATTAATGATTCATTTTAGCTCCAGCTTAAAACAGGCAAACTTCCTTTTTCTAAGTGGCACGGAGAAACATAACTCCTCCTGTTCTTTTTCTAGTACCTGCTTTTTCAAACAGCATTTGAAGTGTGGAGTGCACTGGCTTTCCCTAGCTCCTGCCAGAGCCCGGCTTAGTCACTGCGCGCAGAGGAGCAGCTGAGCCCTGCTGTCTTCTTTTTTTTTTTTTTGTGGAACCAGGGGTTGAACTCAGGCCCTTGTGCTTCCCAGGCAAGCGCTTATTCTACTGAGCCACCTCCTGGCCTGCTGTCTTCTGACTCCGGGTGCTGACACCTCTGTGGCACCTCCTGCTTTCCTGGGGCTGTGAGATCAACAGCAGCTGAGGGCAGGGGGTGCAGGCCAGGGGGCAGCTCCCTGACAGCCCACTTCCTGCCCGATAGGTTGGCTCCTTTGAGAACTGGTTGGAGGAGGCAGTTTGTTCTTCAGAGACTCACAGGTGCACAACTGGATGGGTCTGAATCCGAGTCACAACAGCCTAGGGTATGAGGTGGGAGGAGGGCGCTAGGCAAGCTGGGCCCACGGCCTAAGGATATCGGCAGGCACACACACTTGGGGCAGGCGCTTGTAGAAGCCTTGCATCTTTAGTTGCAGCCAGCATATCAGGGGAGCCATTTGACAAAGTTCTAGAAAGGAAAGCCGCCCCTACTGCCCCGTACCTTTAGGCCTAGCTTCCTCCTGAAACTGCTGGCACGTGTGTCCATAGACAAATTCTTTGCTACCAGGAAACAGTGAGTGGGAACAAAAGGGCCGAAGAAAAATAAATAAATAAATAACAACAGCAGCAAAAATAAACCCTGAAAAGAGAATGGGCTGAAGATATAGTGAAGACTATGGGTTTAATCTAGAAAGAGAGACAGACAGAGACAGGAAACAGACAGAGAGACAGAGGGACAGAGAATTTTACTCTGCCAGTTTCCAAATTCAGATAGTTAACAGTCTTTAGGAACCAATCCATTAAAATGTTACCTTACTGGGGCTGGGGAGATAGCTCTGTGGTCTAAGCACCTTCCTGGCAGGCATAAGGACCCAGGTTCGTATCCCTGATGCCACATGTCACGCCAGCCCCAGAACCGCAGGTGTAATGTGGTGGTGCACACAACCCTGTACCAAATGAATAAAGTATTTTTCTTTAATTTAAAAAAGATTACTTTATTTTGCTGCCTGACTTTACAAAGGTAATTTTGAAATCACATCAGTATGCGAAATGATTACATTCTTAATACAAAGGACTTTTTTGTAAGTGTTACAGTTATTTGCATTCAATTTTATGATTATTTTCTTTGATGCTTTTATTGTATTAACTACAAGTCCTTAATTTCAGTAAATGTTTTCTTCTCAAGCTGCAAAATGTTTTTTTTTTTTTAAAAAAAAACCTACCTTTCCAGGATCCAAGAAACTAGTACAGAATAACTGCATTAATGAAAATAACAAAACTGAGGTTATTGTTATTAAAAAAATCTTCAAATGAATTCTTTCTTTTAGAACCTAAGAAAGCAAATAGGTGATTCAAAGGAATGTTGACTGGAACACCAAGTGCTAGTGCTGGGATATACACCTAGGAAAATGTCATGAAACATTATTGCATTATAGATACGGGAGGGGGGACCTTCTGAGAAAAGCTCTCAGATTTTATTGTTTTCATTTTGAGAGCTGGGCAGCTGCCAGCTATATTAGCTAAGTATTTGCCAGCTAAGCTGTGTATTTTATCTTAGCTGTGCATTTGCCAAAGCAAATTGATTTGTGTGGAAACCATTCTTCAGAAGTAATGATAAGAAATCAATCATCTTGAATGCCATATCTAGCCCTGTAATTTATTCTACGCACAGCTGCCCCTCTTCTGGGACAGACTAGAAAGGAAAATTCAGTGTTTTAGTCAGACTCGTGTGTAGAGAACGCTGAGCTCTCGAGGCTGTCTTCTGACTTCCTGGGTATCCGGCAGCTGACATCCCTGCTCCATTTCTGAGGCTTTCAGTCTAGTTTCTCAGCAGCTTGGGGACTGGCCCTGGTACCACAGAGGAAGTGGGGCTCCCTGTTCCACGTTGGCACAGGCCTCCTTCCAATGACTCCGGTGTCCAACCGTAGCTGCCACTCCACTCGCTCGGTCCTAAAAATGCATCTTCCTCACTGGCAGTAAAGTCTGCAATAAAAGAACATGAAGCTCCTGGGGCAACAAATGCAATTATTACCTAGGATAGACTAGGGGTAAATCCTGTCCAGACCGCAGAACACTTTTCCAGGGCATGATTCTGAACTGTGAGTTATTCCTGCGGTCTGTGTTGAAAGGTGGTAATGTTTAGTCCTTAGAACATGTGACTACCTTACAGAATAAATACTGTAAATCTTGTTCTTGCAAAAATCAAAGACTGAGATTGGGAGTGGTGTGCACCTGTAATCCCTGCTCTTGGGAGACTGTAAACAAGCAGATCACTATGAGTCTGATCTAGTAGTGAGACCCTGAACACCCTGTAGACCCTTCCCTAAAAATACCAAATAAATAATTTTTTTAGAAAAAGAGAAAATACAAATAGTGCATTTTTCTTGGACTCTATGATATAGTCTGGATAAAATAGAATAAAAAATAGAAAGAGACCACAGGGACTCTTAGAGCTCCCTCTCTCCACCTTATGCGCCCGCCTCCCCCAAGTTGCTGAGCAGAGTACAGCGGCATATTTATTTATTTATTTATTTATCTTTCTGTATTTAGGACAGGGTCTACAGGGTCTCACTAAGCAGATCAGACTCGAAGTGATCTGCCTGTGTTTGGACTCCCAAGAGCTAGGATTACAGGCCCACGCCACCACGCCCAGTCTCAATCACCGTCTCAGCGTGACCCGGGAGTGGGGCTGGCACAGCATGCTGGGAATCGAACCCTGGCCACTACGCTTTGCCTAAGCAGCTCTTTAGTCCTCTGAGCTACTAGACCAGCCCTACAGTGGCATTTTATAAGAGCTAATTTCATAAATTTAATTCCCTGGCACTTGTGAGTTTTTAAAAATTTTTTAAATTTATTTTTATGTTTTTGTCGGTACTGGGGGTTGAACTCAGGAACTTGCACTTGCCAGGCAAGCGCTTATTCTACTGAGCTATCTCCCGAGTCCTTATGGTTTTTTTTTTTTTTTTGGGGGGGGGTTGTTTTTTTTAATAAAAGATGGTATTACTATTATCATTTTTTAGGGTAAAAACGTATTTCCTGGCAGTCCTTCATCACCAGGTTAGCAGAATTTTCCCACCATTTTTATCACAAATGTCTTGGAATTTGTTTTTCTCTCATCTTGATATGGTGGGAGTAATTGGCCAACCTAGTGAGTGAGGGCCTAGGAGGCATAAATCTGCTTTGACCCTCGTGGTTAGCGTTTTCGAAGTCAGAGTGATATAGGGACGTGAGATTCCCAACCTGGCCTGAATGAGTTCGTGTTCTCTAAAACCGAAGAATGAATTTTAGGAACAAACGGAAGCTGAAGGTAAAACTTTATTGGAAAGGAAAGCTGCTGTCGGAGAGGGACAGAAGGGGGTCCCGAGCGGGTTGCCCAGGAAGCTGTCTCCTTCAGGTTATTTTTATAGGACAAAACCATGCGGGGCTAAGGTAGAGACAAAGGGGTCCCGCTTAGGCGGATACAGGGTGGGACAAAACTATGGTCAACCAGTGGGATTACAAGCACCATTGCCTAGGTAAAATTTATTAGGCCTAGGACCAAATGGGGTAGCGAGTCACGTAGCAAGTGGGCGACCTTATCTGGTGGCCTTCAGTCGATGATTCTTCCCGACTAATGAGCAATCCTGGATGCCAACTTTAGGGAGGTCAGCATTTGTTTGATCTTTAGGTC